GCTGCTCTTTTTTTTTGGCCTTTTATTGGCTTTATTGGATAGTGACAGCTGTAGATAGACAGGAAAGGTGGGTAGAGAGAGGGGATGACACGCAGCAAAGGGCCACAGGTCGGATTCGAATCCGAGCTGCTGCAGCAACTATATATGGGTCGCCAGCTCTACTGACTGAGATAACCGGACGCCCTGCAAATCATGTTTTCAGGGGACCTCAAGTCTTATTCAGAGTTCCCCTTGGCTCCCCTGTAGTTTGCACCCTGATTTACATTACTATATTTTCATAGATGTTCAACAAGATTAAGAGATTACAAACAGTTGGGGTTTGTGGTTAGAGGTTCAGTTACACTTTTTTCGGACTCCGGTTTTTACAGACTTTGGAATAGTCCTATATTTATTCTACCAACCTTTCAAAGTTCAACACATCTATTTTTGTCTGTTTTCATTAAGGAAAATAATGCTGTGTGGAGAGAAACAAGAGATGTGTCTGGCCACAAACAAAAAATGGAGTTTTGTGTTTAGCAGGTGCAAAATTTGTCCTCAAAGAGTTCCAGCATTGTCCCCGGGTCCTTGAGAGATAAGAAGGGCCCCATTAAGAAGCCTCAGGAGCCTATGTAGAAGCCTTCCAGGCTCCTCCTGACAAATCCCTCCTTCAACCTTTGTATTTGTTCTAATACAGCCCTTAAAGCGAGCTCGAGCCTCCCCCTCCTCATACTACTGTATTGATGAACTTCCATTAGCATCAGAATAGGGCCAAGAAAAAAGTGCCGGTAATAAGACTGAAATAATATAAGCTCTACAAACGTGGTGATCTTGGTTTAATGCACATTTCTAAAGTATTATTAATGTTATTATTAGTAGTATATTATCACAGTAGCTGTATTATGTGTATGTGTGTGTGTTAAACTCCTATATCTGTATAAAAAATCCTTGAATATTGGATCTTTTAAGTGAAAATAGGATAGGATGAAAACAGTCAGTGGTAAAATTGGAAAAGCACTAGGCAGGGGCAGATTTATACCTAAAGTCATATAAACACTACCAATGCTAAGTCTTTGAGTATAGATACAAAAAAAACAGATCCAATTACCAACAAAAGTTGGACGACACACTGTAAATAAAATACAGTTGTGAAAACACCTAATTTTAAGGCAACTGGCTCCATTACATTTTTGAGTTTTAAGAGAATTATACTAATAATAAATGATAATCTACTTTTCTCCTTTAGAAAAACTCAACTCTTTAAGTTTTAGAAACATTTTAAAATGTGAAACATTTTTCAGAAAACACATAATAATAACTAATAATTTGATATTTTCACCCCAGTAATAAATAAAATCAGGCTCACAGCTCACTGTGAAAGATTTTTGAAATTCCAAATTTAGTTTTTCTAAAACCTAAATATTTCAGTAAATTACCTAGACAAGAGATTATAGGTTGGCAAAACCTTTTCAGTTTATTTTTAGAAGTTTAGAAGTTTGAGTTTGACTTAAAAAAAAAATAATGTGATGAACAATGTTATTGTCATTTTAAGACCATTTTATGCCACGGATATAGTGATCATTATAATCATGCAAGTACACCCTTTTAAAGAGGAATGAGTATTCAGAAATTGGAATTGGAATGTGAAAAAAATCTTAAAATATCCTGAATAAATAAAACCGCACAACCAAAACAATAAATAAAATTGTCTCTGTGTTAACAAGAAATGGACTTAAATATTAAACATTTGACAAAGGGGTAGGTTATAGAGTCATTCAGTCCTGAACAGGCAACATAGTAATGGTAGGGATAACCCTGCTGTTAATTCTCATGTTGGGTAAAATGTTGGTAACATTCTTAAAGCTCCAGTGTGTAACATTCAG